CTGTTACTCGCACGAGATCCACCAATAGCGAACTACAACCGTCCATTCCTCCAAATAATTAGTTATGAATAAAATCAATTCCACCCTACATTTGTTGTGACTCCAGAAGCAATTAAACACAAATTTACATAAAATGAAAAAGGGCGATCACAACTTGCTTTTTTCTTTTTTTAATGCATTTTTTTAATACAATCTAATGTGAAACCTGAAACAAATAAGCACCTGAACTCAAACTCCATGATTTGTGTGTTGGATCAGAATGTGGACATCCTGAAGGACCCGGAGACAGTGCGTCAGCTGGGCAGCATCCTGAAGACCAATGTGCGGGCGTGTAAAGCTGTGGGTCACCCGTTCGTCCTGCAGCTGGGCCGCATTTACCTGGACATGCTGAACGTCTACAAGTGCCTGAGTGAGAACATCTCCTCCGCCATCCAGAGCAATGGTGAGACCCACACGTCCACATACAGGCAAACCAACAATTATTCTGATGGCAGATTTTAGTTTTTACTAGATCATTTTTGGCTTGACTGCAGAGTTTATAACTCAGCAATTGGCTCATGTTTGACTCTCGTGTCTGTGCAGGTGAGATGGTGACTAAGCAGCCCCTGATACGCAGCATGCGGACAGTAAAGAGAGAGACTCTGAAGCTCATCTCAGGATGGGTCAGCCGCTCCAACGACCCTCAGATGGTGAGTTCTGCTGATTCTGGATCTGTTTAGGCTCATGCCAGACCAATCTGACAGCAGTGTAAAGTGCTGCTGTTGTGTTTTCAGGTTGGCGAGAACTTTGTTCCACCTTTGCTTGAGGCGGTCCTCATTGACTACCAAAGGAACGTTCCAGCTGCTCGAGAACCCGAGGTGCTCAGCACTATGGCCACCATCGTCAACAAGCTCGGCTCTCATATCACAGGAGAGATCCCCAAGATATTCGATGCAGTGTTTGAGTGCACTCTGGAAATGATCAACAAGGTTTGTTACTTGTGCAACTTTAGTTTTTTGAGTGCAGCTTTACTGTATCAGGTAACACTAGAATAATAGACCCTTTTCACAAGACTGTTAATGATGCATCATAATCTTAAATCCTTGAAGTTTTTAATATTTAGATTTTTAAATAAGCTTATGAACATTTATATGCATTTATTATAGCATCTTTGCATCAAATTACAAAAAAAGTCTGGCTATTCTCGACATTTGACGTTATTCTCTCTTCTGGCTGCTGTCATCAGTCTCGCACTATTTTTTTCCTTTTTCTGAAAGTCTTGATAACGCCATTGTGGAGTTTTTCTTTTATTATATCAGCAAATGGGATTGTAAAAAAATGATTTGTTGTACTCTCCTATTCACTGCGCTCTTAGTTTATAAACTATGATGACTTCCGCTGCTGAGAAACCCGGACATGTGAAAAGGGTCCATTAGTTAATGTATTTACTCACATTAACTAAGTACAAATATTGTTGTAAAGCACTTATTAATCACAGTTCAACATTAACTAATGAATTATTAAAGTCCAAAGTTGTGCTTTTTAACGTTAGTTAATGCACAGTGAGTTTACATGAAGTAACGATATTTAACTTAACATTATCTAACAAACAACAAACTTGAATACAAACTGTAATGTATTACTAATTGTTTGTTCGTGTTAGTGAATCCATTAACTAAGGCATCATTATTTTACCCTGTATCAGACTAGTTTAGGCCTGGTTCTGTATTATATGTTAATTGTTTTAAACAAATCAATAATTTAAATAATAAAAATAATAATCAAAATTAATTTAATAAATGTTACATGGCTATTTATTAAATTCTTAGTGTCTCATAACTTTTTTCTTAGTAAATGCTGCTTGTAAATGTTCCATGCAAAATAAATTAGCATTTTTGTTATTCAATTTTTTAGCAAATCTTAATCTTTCTTATTGTAATATTTTACATTTCTAATAATAAACTTGGTAGTATTTATTATGAAATAAAAAAAATTAAACAAATTTTAATATAGCAATAAGTGTTTTTTTAGGCAATGTTTGTTTTATTTTTTTCTAGAAAAATTGAGTTTGATGGTTTTTTTTTTTGTTTGTTTGTTTTTTCCTCTTCCCTTCCTTCAGTTCTACTTTAACACGCACTTTTTTTCTCTCCATCAGAACTTTGAGGAGTTTCCCGAGCACAGAACGCATTTTTTCTACCTGCTGCAAGCTGTCAACTCCCAGTGTTTCCCAGCATTCCTGTCCATCCCACCGGCACAGTTCAAACTGGTTCTGGACTCCATCATCTGGGCCTTCAAACACACCATGAGGAACGTGGCCGACACTGGTGAGTGAACGGAGTAGATTTATCGGACACAACTAAATTTAGCTTTAAAGGAATTCTTCACCTAAAAATGAAAATGATCTCATTATTGACACTCTTCCTCAAGTGATACTAAACTTTTGAGTTTCTATTAAGCTCTAAAAAGGATATTTTGAAGAATGCTGAAAACCTGTGACCATTGACTTTCATTGTGGGGAAAAACAAATACTATGGAAGTCAATGGTTACCGGTTTTCAGCATTCTTCAAAATATCTTTTTTTGTGTTTATTAAGTGTTTGACAATTATCATTTTTGGGTGAACTATCCCTTTAAGCTCATACATAACTAATAGTTATTTAAATAAATGTGAAGAAGTCTTCTGACTACCCTTTACAAAATGTGGTGCTCAGTCTTATTTCTGTGTGCAGGTTTTAAAGGCCACACGTTGATGATTGTGTTTGTTTGCTTTGAACAGGGTGTCCACGGGGTCTTAAAGTATTGACTCAATGTAGAGAAATTTGGGGCCCTTAAAAAGTATTAGTCTTAGGGTGCTTTCACACCTGTGAATCAATTCAGTTGTTCCGAAACAGAGATTACAATTGTTACATTGTTGCTCTTTGCTCTTGGAGTGGTTCGCTTTCACACTGCAAAGTTTCCAATCGGACCAAAAGAGCTAAAACAAGTCACGTGCGAGTAAACTCTCCTTACATTGGTCAGAGTGTCAGGGTTTATTTTGCAGCGTCCCGCTAAACTGTCAGGAGAGGTGGTGGTTTGGTGGTGATTGACAGCGTGCGCGTGCGCGTGCGACGTGTCTGAGGAGAGACGCAGTGGGGAGTGGTGAGAAGGGTGCGCGATGATGCCTATTTGAGGACCGGGAGGGAGACGCGAGATTACCGGGAGATCATCACTCGTTTGCGGGCATCCGGAGACTCGCGAAACTACCCACCCCACACATAACTCTCTCTTTATATAGCCGTATGCCTATTACATATCCATAAAACACAGTGATATAACCGCGCTCAGATCGGATCGCTTTCTCACTGCAATCGAACCGCTCCAGGGTTCGTTTCAATCGAGCCGAGACCACCTCAGTCAAGCGATCTCGGAGCGATTGCTTTGGCGCGGAACAGAGCGCGATTGCCCTTTTCACATATGCCAAACAAACCGCGCTAACTGGGCAAACAAGATTCGTTCCGATACGAAAGTGTAGGTGTGAAAGCACCCTTAAATGCCATTTTGCAAGGTATTAAATTTTACATCATTTTTGATCATGCAGTGTATGGTTGTATGCTAGGGTTTGCCTGAATTCTGTGAATATCAGGATGCTGTGCAGTTCATGAAATTCATAAAATCCTGCTGGATTTGACATCATGCTGCTTGGTTTACTGCAGTAAACAAGGCAACACCATTATTTCTGCTGTTCTATAGGCGCCAACCTGCTGAATTAGCTAGATTTAGTAGCTTTTTAAACAGTATATGAATACTGTTTTAGTTTTGGATTAGTTTCTTGCATGAATTTTTAGTAAGTGTACTGCAAGGTAAATTCTCACCAGTGTTTCCGGTTGAAACCTACCATGGTTATAAGGTCTTAATGTATAGAAAGAGTCTTGAAAAGGTATTGAGTTTCACTCTGATTCCTGTAAATACTCTGGTGAATCATGTCTAGCAATAATGATCATGCTTTCTGTCTGTCTCTCCAGGTCTTCAGATCCTGTTCACCATGCTGCAGAACATCGCTCAGGAAGAGGCCGCAGCTCAGAGCTTCTATCAGACATACTTCTTCGACATCCTGCAGCACATCTTCTCTGTTGTCACGGATACGTCTCACACGGCCGGTCAGTTGCTAGGCAGAACATGTGACATGTTGACAGTAACTTATCGAGCTGTTATTTCCAACATAAAGGATTTACGTTAGTTACGCAACAACTTGAGAGTATATATCATATATATATATATATATGTGTATATATATATATATATATCATATATAGTCAGGAACACACGATTAGATCATTATTCACCTGAAAGTGAACAGGAAGATTTCATGCAAACTCTTATAATTAGACATGGACACGTTTACTTTCAAATTCTGATCATTGTAATGTTCAACTGAGCAAGTAATGCGTTTAAAATGTTTAAGAAGTCAGACTGTTGCAAAAATGCAAAATAATGAGAACATAAACAAGCTGATTTTACTTTTAAATTTGAGTCATTTTAATCATTGGATTATCTCCAGCTCCAGCGTGATCTGCTTCATTTTAGACGGCATTATTTGTAGACTGATCTGAGAACAGCTATAAAGGATCGCAACACTATATATGCAAAGCTGACCACAAACTAGAGTTTATTTAGAGCGAATGCAGAAGTATAAATGCTCACAGCAGAGTGGGCTACGTGCATAACCTTTGATGCAGAAGTAGGAATTGGGCTGTATTTAGAGCAGAACACTACAACTATAAACCAACATCCTCTAGTACAAACATGTGTTATAAACATCAAGCTTAAAATAATTCTGTAAAACCACTGTGAAATGCACTTGCATTGTTGGCACCAGAATAAATGTGTTCCCTTGCTTAATACTAATTGCATAAAAGAAATCGCTTGAAAATACAAGTTGAATCACATTTGTGTAGAGTGAAGAAAACAGTGCTTGGCATAAATAAGTACATATTAAAAACATATATATATATATATATATATACACACACATATATATATATA